ATTATAACATCAAATTCTTTCGCACCATGCACGGTCTCATCTCGCTTGGTTGCTTTCAAATCCATTGGCCGTATCAAATCCATTGTTTGGTTTTGAAGTAAATTATGCACTATATTTAAAGAATTTCAAATATCTCATAATTAGCTAGATATATTTTTTGCAAAAATCCCCACAAATGAAGGCATCTAGTATATAATTATGTGCTACGAAGCATTTTAGTGTTGAACGCTCTGCAAGGCTAAAATTGTTCTCTAAACGAAAAAAAAAATTTTCATCATAATCGCCTGTTATGACGTCCGATCTCATTAAAAAATTTGGAAAGAGAGGAAAAAGACCGAAAAGAGCAAATATTTCAAATGTATGTGCAATTTTTTCCAATGATTATGAACGCAGCCAGTGAAAAGTTCAAAGTTTAAACCTCTCTGGATTGATAGGTCAGCGATTCTGATAAAATAATTATTTACCCAGTATTAATACTGATTTGGGTGACCAATATTCCAACTTAAATTCGTTATTTAAACCCGCACAAACATCAATTCTATTGCTTCAGTAAATCAACATCAAACCAATAACTAGAATTAATCGTTAACAATTTATTGTTAGAAGATTTGCATAGTGTTTTTAAACGTCCCTCACCCCTGCATGTTGGAGTTATCAAGGTTTATTCTTTAGATATGTTAATGGGTGCGATCAGTCAAATAATATGAACATATTTTACCATTCCGACTAATCACTTGATTTCAGAATCAATACTGAAAATAGGGTTAGGGGCGAGGGGCAACCCGTTAGGTTACAAGTTACTGTTATAGTTAAAAAATGTTAAAATTGCAAGTTTCTTTATTCCTGCTGGAATCTGCTTTGCTTTCATTTAGGCCTTCAAATGGAAATACATCTGCCGCTCACTGTTGAACAAAAACATGTTGCGTTAAAATGTTTCACGCCATTATTACCATGGTTGCTCATGAATATTTAAAACAATTCCCATATTACGGCTTTATATTTCCCAAAAACTATGCCTTGCCATCTATTCATATTGCAAACTTCTATGGATATTAAAATCCAACTATCAATGTGATACACGGAACGTTTGAAGAAAATAATGTATGTTTAAAAATAGCGCACGATCCTGAAGAGTTAGAACTAGAAGTTATTGTGTATAAAAGAGAAGATGAAGCCGAACTAGAAGAAGAAGCAATGCTTGGAAAGATGTTTTCATAAGATTTCCATACTTTCATTTCATTATTTGTATTTGCTACATACTGTCCATGATATAAAGATCTTAAATTTGAAGTTTCAATGTAATTTCATAACTATTGATGCATGAAAAAAACCGATTGCTTTTTGAATTCTGCGTTGTGATATAGAGAGTTGTGACAATTACTTAGATCTGTGCGCCGAATAATTTTGAATGTGACCTCGTAATTCTCCTAGCTGATTTGCTACAGAACGGTTATTATTTGCTCCAAAATGTTTATTCTGCATTTAATAGGTACAACCATAAGATTATCTAATATCATCTTTGTAAAAGAACATGTCAAAGTTTTCTTATTCATTACTCGCGCGACAGCGGCGTCACTCAGCTCGTAGATTTTTCTTTCATTGTGTCGGATGTCTCGCAGACCCAAATTGTGGGGTTTCTCTTTGCCCTTGTATGTAAATATACCTTGAAAAGTTGCTATCCTTAAAATGATTTGAATAAATCCCGAGTCTCCCAGTCACTTCGTGCGATGGAGCCGCAGAATCTCGTCCATGCGTCCAACTTTGTTGTGATTCTTGGCGTGCCGAGATGTATTGAAATTTTCGAATTATGATCGTCAGTATTATTGAAACTGAGAAATTTCAGCGCCTAGACATTGTTTGATCATATAGTAGTTAAGGAATCGGATAAAACATTATATGTTTTCTGAATAAGTCAAATAAACCGAGTTTTACGAACATGGCACATACATTTAGCCACCAATGTTTTGGTTTGGGTTGAGTAAATGACGTCATACGTTACTCGTGCCTCTTGAGCCGAATTCTGTGATACAAAGAAATAATGGCGGACGAAAATAAATCGTACAGTTTTGGCCCTTTCCTTTCGAATATCAGAAAGATTTTTTAGTGAGTTGTTCTTAATGTATTCAAGATTATTTCAGCAAAGTTCCAGCTCGAAAGAAAGAGTTTTAATTTTGGAGCGATTTTCGTCCAAGTGGCCCTTTAAAGGAAAGACATAATTCTTGATAAAAATAAATGACTATTTCAAATTTAAAATGTAAAAATGCTTTAAATTGAAAAGCCGAATTCCTGTGACGTAATTTCTATGTTTAATTTTGTATAGAAAACATGGTTTTGACGTCATATCTATGTTTCTATACTCTGATAAAACATAGCTTTTCAGCAATCAGAGCGCGCGTTCGTGAATATCTATTATATAAATGCAAATGAAAAGATATGACCGTATGGATACAAGTAGATGGACAGATAATAATGCAGTTGTTTTAACGATTTGATTATTCTTGATCAATAGACCCCCTCGGCTCGGACGTAATGTTGTCCCCTTTCAGTATACGTGTCATTCCCTTGAGTATCAATTCTTTGTTTAACGGTTTCACATTAGAAGACACATGAATATGGATACAACTCAAACAAAGAATCTCATTTTCAAGGGAATGACACGTGGTCTGAAATGGGACAACATTACGTCCAAGCCGAGGAGGTCTATTGAAAAAAAACATAGCGATACTCACTACACCAAAATCCTGGAGCACAATTACCTGACCAAAGGCATTGAGCTTTACGTTTTACGACAGCAGAATCTGTTATAAAGAAAATAACGATAAATTAGGCATTCTTTTAAATCGTGGATACGCGAAGCGTAGAAACGAATTATTGCAAGGAGTCTAAATACAATTAATTCCAAAAAGTTTGTCGTCGACAAGTCAGGCCTAAGCGACTGCACTGAAAGGGAATTGGGGTACCTAATTTGGGTAAAAATCACTGAAGCCATTAAGAGGCAATGTCCACAAGAATCGAACAAATGGTGGCAAGGGTCAAAAAATCAAATTCGCTCTTCTTTTAAAGTTAGATAGGCCATTATTAGATATGAATCACTGGGTAGTTGGAAATATCATTTCATTTTCGAGAAAACGGCCACAGAAGAGGTTCGACCGAAACCCAAGCAAGAGACGCTCAAGAGGAGTGAAAATGGACAAACTTTGAACAGAGCGCGCGTAAAAAATAAACCATCCATGACAATTTTTGAACTTTCTTCTTAATGTATCACCCTTTTTCGTTCATTGAACTGGATTTCAAGCTTATTGGGAAAGGGACGAATTTTTGGCGAGGGAAAATAGGAGACCTGTGTTTACATATGCTAATTGGTTGCCTTAAAAGAAAAAAAGATTTAACTATGGGCAAGTTCTCTGATTGAAATAATATTTATGCTGCAAGTTGAGGAAGAATAGATCTTTTTAAAACTTTAAAGATTGATTTGGAAAAATTAATTCTGACTGCAAAGAAACCTGTTGAATTTGGTTGAAATACATGCGAAAATCACGCTTCCCGAATCAACGCAGGACTAAGGATTTTCGTAAAGATTGCCATGAAATTTACCCTGAAAACTAGGAAATTAATGTTTGTGCCGTTATTTGAAAGTTAAATTCGGTTTGGTAAATTTAAGCTCCATTGGAAAGGTTTTGGGATTGTCGGTACTGATTAACAAAAAACGCGATCTTTGGTGATTGCTTGACCGAGGTTCAACTTTACGTTTAGAAGTTTGATTACTGTAAAATGCACGCTAAAAATTACGATAGAAACGTTCTTTAAATAGCTTTATAATCTTGTTTTAGTCGAATAAGTTTTGGGTCGATAAAAAAGCGGTTTCCACAGTTAGTTTATATATGCATAAATTACGCCGCCTAATGATTACTTGACTCAAGGTCAATGATTTTTAGAGCGACTGATTGCAAATGTTGTTGAGTTTGGTTGTGTCGTACATACTAAAACCATGATGTTTAAAAACAAACATGTAAGAGATTTTCATACAGATGTTCATACGGTGTTACTTGTTGGCCAAATTGAAGTTGGTACAGAGAAGAGTAAGTGAATTCGCAAAGTAATACCGAAGATAGCCAAGAAAGATATATGGGGAGATGTTTCCGGGTAACAAAACAAGTAAGCAGATTGCAGGTGTCAAGATTCTTAATTTAGATAAATAATACATGAATTTTATTGCTATTTGAACTACTCGACATCTTAGAAATCTTTATATTGACGAAAAAAGCCATACATTGACCTTTAAAATTTTGAAAAAACTGGTCAAATGAAATCGAAATAAACGGGCCAGTGGGACCAACCCAAGGCCGGGTGCCTTTGTCACAAAATTCAGCTCTAATTTGGCTTTGCTTCATGGACTGCCTTAAAGAACATTTCTAGTCGTAAATCTAGTACGCAAACATGTGTCCGGAAATTTTTGTATCCGTATTTCGAAAACGGATACGTGTGGACAGTGAAAACGGTTCGAAAACGATTCGAATACGCTGCGTGTGGACGCGAACATTTTCGTATCCGTAAAAAAAGAATTGGCGAATGCAAAAATTTCCGGATACATGTGGACGGGGCCTGAATAATTTTTTTAACGAAGCCAGCATAACAAAGTGCACGTGAAATCACACCAAACGCATAGCAAAAGACTGCCTGCGTAAAACACAAAAGTCGTGAATTAAGCTAAGCCAAACATCTCATGACAAACAATAACTGGCTCTGAATAGATTTTTTAACGAAGCCAGCATAACAAAGTGCACGTGAAATCACACCAAACGCATAGCAAAAGACTGCATGCTGAAACACAAAAGTCATGAATAAAACTAAGCTAAACATCTCATGACAAACAATAACTGGCTCTGAATAGACTTTTTAACGAAGCCAGAATAACAAAGTGCACGTGAAATCACACCAAACGCAAAAATATTGAACAAAATTATATTAAATCCCGGAGTGCAGAATAAAACAAAACTGGCCAAAAAGCAAGCATTGACAAAAAGCAATGAATAACGCTGAGCCAAAAAGTTCATGACCAAACACAACTGGCAAATATTTTAAAACGAATGGCCAGAAGTGACAGTGGCAACAAAATATAGCATAAGGTTATGACCAACAACTGACTTGCAAACATTACTATTAGAACTACGAAACGTACAAACCAAGGGAAATTCACTAACCACGGTAAGGAAAGTCGAGCTAAAGCTTGATAAAACAGCTAATCCTGCCACGATCATTAGCGAAACTTTGCAAGTATCGAAAAAACCCGACAAATTAATTAAAACAGAAACTGATTACCACAATAACTTCTCCTTGTACTGGTGCAATGGGGGTCTTGGTCTGCGTTTTCCTGGTTTTGCTGGGCAACTATTGGATTTACTGGGAGTACGGGAACTTTGTCTTTCTAGATTGTGCTTAGCCAAGGTTAAAATCAACCTACCGAAGAGGAACATACGTAGCAACTGGGTACAGAACGTGGTTTCTCACTGTTTATATACTTGTGTGGCGGCAGACCGCTGAGTATAGCACAATAACATCTTATATTTTTATTTTTTAACACAAATTCTAAGTGATAACTAGTCATTTGGTTATTTCCTAGTCTTCCGTGGAAAATAGGACGGCTTATATATTTTTTCACTAAAATATTACTTATTTTTGAAGGCTTTCCATGTTTACCTTGTTCGCGAGTTTTTACCGTAAAAAGGTGAACTCCTTCGCATTCTGAAGGCTAAACGAAGTCGGGGGACCCCATTTTGTATTGGCTTATTTTACTTCTAGTATGATGTTCTTTGATTGTGCAAAATGTTTAAAAATCTGACGATGGGATCTTTTGCCCATGAACGTCCTTAAAGATTCGTTCTGATTTATTTTCGCCTGCTAGTAATAAGATAATAAAGTATGTATGTATGTATGTATGTATGTATGTACATTAAGTAAAATTGTTTGTTTCCTCAACCAAATTAGTTTTAATATAAACCGAGCTTTCGGGCATACTCGCCCATACTCAGTGTACAATGGAATCAACGGTAAAACTATCACGATTACAGACATATATGCGCCAGCTACACGGTTAACAAATATTCATTTAGCGCACTCACATAAACGCGCGAGCTATCAGTACCATAAATCAATAAGTTGCAGATAATTTTCAGGCAGTTTTCTGCCAGTCTCTCTTAGCAATGTGGCATGCTTCAGCCCATTTACGTTGGTGCAATGTCTGCTCTCTGTCTCGACCACTTTATTTCCATTCCAATCAATGCGATGTCCGAAGGTAATTCCCTTCATTGTTTCGATTTTCAGTCCAAACGCTTCAGTCATGTAAATTGAATCTCGAGAACAATTAAATTGTTTCAAAAACTTCCCTCATAGAAAACGTGTAACAAAGATTATGCAACGGAAATACGCTTACCTTCTTCAATGTCCATTGGACGAGTTTCTTCATCCAGTGCTGGGTAGGCAAATGCCATACCGAGTAAAAGCAACACAAGAACCACTTGGTATTTCATGACTGACACGTAATTCTTGACACGCCTAGTGGAAAACAAACGACCCATTAGGTTACAACGTCAATCAATTGTCTTTAACATGTCGATTTTTACTTACAATCGTTGCAAATACTAGTATAAAATTACTAATAACCAATTCGTGTTTTTAGTCCTTATAAAGACTGCATCGTTTAACACACTAAACAATCGTATATGAACAGCTGCATTCGAATGTAAAGAAAGAAAGAAAGAAAGAAAGAATTGATAGCATCATAAATCAAAATCTAAGGTTGTCGGATATTCGTTTTGCCCTGATGCTCGATTTACGGTATTTTGAAGGAAATAATAATCTGCGGGAAGTTTCAGTACTATTTTTGAAAATAGTTCACTAAAGGGGTTAGATTCATGAAATAAAAAGAAATTCGATTTTTCGCGACTGTCCGGCGATTCTCCGTATTTTATTACAGACAACGGCTCTTAAAGGAATTATTACACAAAAATTATGCCTACTTACAGCAGTAAATAAGAGGTTGAACAGGTACAAACTGACTTCTTCTCTCTGCAATCGTAGGACTGGAATGACTGGGGCTTGTGTTATTGTTCCGTATTTATTGAAAATTCTGGCCATGAATAAACCAATGCCTAACCCGTCACCTTGATCATCAGAGCTACAGCATAGCTTCAAGATTTCAAGGTTTCAAGGTTTTTATTATTTCCCAGAATGAAAATGTTATACTTTACATATCACTGTTAAGACATTTACTGGGAGGAGCAGGGGAAAAAAACAACAACCCTAAAGGGTTAAGAGAATAATTCTGCACCTAATTGCCCTGTTTTTTTGAAGTAAACGTCAAAGAATTTTCATACTTAGGCGTTCATCAGGAGGTATAATTACCTAATCTATAATCAACCACGACATTACCGAAGTGTTTTGTTTTGCAAAATTTCTATGCATCAAAACTTCAACGTCAAATTTCTCAAAAATATAATGATCTCACAGATTTTTTTCAAATTTTCTGAACCTTGAGCAAAGTATTCATCCCCCACGATCTCAAGCGCAAATTTAGAAAGTTGGGTCAAAAAATGGAGAAAATGAGTCGTTAGCAGCAGTTTTATGTTAATTCCTATTTCAGTAAAAACGTGGTCATTCAAAAATTTCATTTTTCCTTTGAAACCCCTAAAAAAATCGTTATAGCGTTACAAGATACAGGGTTACGAAGATACAAAGATACAGAGTTACAAAGATGTCGAATTTCAATAAAACAGAGTTACAAGAAAATAGAAAATACAAGAAAATAGAGTTACGGCGATATTGAATTACATGTAAACAGAGTGTATATCGCATTTGGCTCTCGAAATACTGATAGAGAGCTTGATGATGTAATGGCAACTCGTTGACAAAATAGAGGCTTGTAGTCAATCTCCGTGGGCCAACCAAATTGTACAAAATAGTGCTAGTTGAACAATAGAAAACAAAAGAAGTAGGCCCCGTTCACACTATGCCGGATAAATTTAAATCCGCACCTTTCACACCGAAACCGAAAATTTTTTTTCCGTCCACACATGAAAACGGATAAAATGTTTCGCTCCCAAAAAAACAAAAAAAATAAATAAATAGATAAAATAAAATAAAATAAACCCACATCTGAACATGTGGACCGAAGCTGAAATTGAGCCTCCGGTGAATTTTTAGCCTTCCCTCCATGTTCCCATGACAATTATCCGGCAAGGTGGAAGGGGCCTTAGTAATGCTAATATTTCACAGTTATATTATTAGTATTCTAATTCATTTTGTTCACAGCATTATTCTCTCGTTTGTAGAGTTAAACACGACTTTTCGCGGTCAAACACTATTTTGGCTTCTTTTTAATACCACGAGAGATTTTTTTTAAGTTTTGAAGGAGAACAATCTTGATTCCTTGTGCATTTTATTTAATTTGAAATCCGTTGACTTACGTCTAACTTTAGATGAAAAAAGAAAAAAAACAAAAAACATGGAAAATCCTCTTATGGTCTCTTATTTATAACTTTATCTATATATCTTTCATGAGATACATGAGATATATTTTGTAACTCTGTATCTTTGTAACTCTGTATCTTTGTCACAGGGAACCCGGCTATATTTGTTTTCTTCTTTTAGAAAAGTAATTTGCTCTTTGTGGGTTTCCTGTGTTGTAATCGGTTTCCTTTTACATAAGCTGTAAAAGCAACAAAAAGTAAAGTTAACAGCGTATGTCAAATGAGAACTGCATTGGAAGGGCTTTCTGTACGTGCTAAAAGTCACGTATGTTTGAGTCGCTCAAAAAGAGAAGTTTTAGTTTACTTTGAAAGAATTTAGCAATAGCTTAAAGTTTTATGAAATATGAAAACAAAAGTGAGGCTTTCTTTTGCAAAACATGTAAATGCAAAGCAAAAAAGGCATCAAAAGAAGACCTCAAGAACTCAACATGAGATTGAGAAGAAAACTGTCGTACTTCAAACTTCAAGCTATTCACAACCAAGATGAAAAATACTACATCCTTCCGCTTGTTTTCCTGCCTTTTATTGATAAAAAAAACTCAAAAACTGTCTCCAGAAATGAATGAGAAGCTTTGGAAAATTACGGCTGGCTGAACATGGATAGTTTTCGTCAATTTTCAACGTTTTGACTGTTTGAAGCAGGCCGCCATATGTACAATGGCTGAAGTCATGAAGAAGGCACACTTTCGACTCAATTWAAAAAGGTACTGCCAACTCTCCTGTCTAAAAATACATCCAAATTCAAGTGGGGGTGAARTATTACTGAAATATGGACATACTTCAAGAGCGGGTGAGCTTAGAAAACTGCTTAAAACGTTTACGAAAGAAACTACTGGCTTCTTCACCCGATCGATTCAGATAAGTT